ATCCTGACTCTGTCACTTACCTCTGTGCCTTACTTAACTGCTTTGTACCTTAGTTTCCTCATCTGTAAAATGGATAATAACAATAGTGTCTGTCTCACAGCATGGTAGTGAGAATTAAGTGAATTTATTCATGTAAAGCTGATTTGTAAAAGTACCTGGTCTTAGCACTCAGTAAACATTGGTTATTTTTGTTACTCTTATTAAACCTTCCACCTTGTTGTCATTTTACATTCCTTTATTGTCTTCATAGATTGTTATTCTTTTCCATATCTAGTTGTGCATGGTCACAATCAGAGTTTATACAATTTTTGTGTTTTTTAGAAAAGTATACATTTGGGGTTAAGCACTTTTTTGTGTATATATGGAGTCTTCATGTGTATCTTTTTTTTTTTTTTTTTTTTTGAGTTGGAGTCTCACTCTGTCGCCCAGACTGGAGTGCAGTGGCCGCTCCTGGCCACCGCAGCCTCGACCTGCTGGACTCCGGTGATCCTTCCGCCTCAGCCTTCCGAGTAGCCGGAATTACAGGCATGTGCTGCCATGCCCAGCTGATTTTTTGATTTATTGTAGAGATGAGGTCTTGCTGCCCAGGCGGGTCTCGAACCCACGGGCTCAGGCAATCCACTCACCTCAGCCTCCCAAAGGCGCGGGATTACAGGCTGAGCCACCGAGCCTGGCTATGTGTATCATTTTTAATAGCTGCCCAACATTCTATCCAGTGAATACCAAGACCCAATCTGACAGTTTTATCAATGCTTTGGATGAGAATTGATGACATGCTTCTTAGATCTTCAGATGACACAAGACTGGGAGGGAAGGCTAATAAATTAGATTACAGGATAAAGATTTCAACAGATTGGAGCAATGGGCTGGAATGAATGAAATGAAATATAATAGGCATCAATGTAGAGCTTTGCTCTTGGATCAAGTGCCCAATTACCGGATAAGAGAGGTAGGAGAAAGACCAAGAGTTTTTGCTGAAAGCAAGCTCTAAGTGGACCAGCAGAGAGATAATTACTCCCGTCATCTGAGGGGGGTAGAAACAGAAGTCGATTATCTACAATTAAAGACAAGATTGCTCCAGGACCATATATGTTGTTGCAAATGGCTTGCATGTAAAACTGGTGAAATCTGAAAATAAGGCCACTGGATTATATCAATGTTAATTTTTTTTTTTTGTACTATAGTTTGCAAGATGTCACAACTGGGGAAAATCAGGTGAAAGGTTTACAACTTTCTCTCTGTTTTATTTTCTACAACTGTAATGTTACTCTTTAAGTATCTCCAAATAAAAAAACTTAAAAACATAGGATTGCTACTGGACTTCATTGCTTCACTCAATTGTTCAGTAGGCATGTTGAACACCTTTATGTCTTAGGCCCCTCTATGGTAGATGCAAAACTTACTAAGATGGGAGTCAGTCTGGTGGGAGAGAGAGACACAAATGACTTAAATACAGCAGGTTATGTTACATGATGGAGATGTGCTTAGAATGCCATGGGAAACACAAAAGAAGCCTATAGCTGGAAGTAAGGCTGGAGAGAGTAAGAAAGACTTTAGAGCAGGTAGTGCTTTGGCAGAAGCTGGAAAAGTGGGTACAAGTTTGCCAGGATGGCTAGGTGGAGATGGGCATTCCAGGCAAAGAAAAAAGCATATAATATCTAAAGATCTGTAGGGCTGAGGCACTCTTCTGTAGTTGGGGGGCAGCTAGATGTTAACTATGGAGAAAATGAGTGAAAAACTGGGAAGCAAAGGCCACAGCCCTGTATTATGGGAAAGAGGCTGGATTTTATGGAGAAGATTCATATACCCTGGCAGGCATGAAGCCAGAAGGTAAGAATAAATACCAGGATGAGACTGATATTTAGAAAGAAACTTCCAGGTGGCAGGTGGGAGACTATTTGGAAAAGAGACTAGACTGGAGGCAGGGAGACCAGTTAAGAGATTATTGTAGTAGTTCTTGGGAGAGATTATTTAGGCTTGAACCAAAACAGTGGTGTGTGTGTGTGTGTGTGTCTATAGGATGGATTCAAGAGATATTTAGGAAGTAGAACTGACAGAGATGAGTGAGACACTAGATGTGTTTCTTGAGGGAGAGGGTAAGAGTTCCAGACAACTTCTGGAATTCTGGTTGGTGTCATGTAATGAGATGAGGAATTAAAAAAGAAATAGGCTGGGGGTGAAGATATGGAGACAAAAAATTTAGTTGTGGACATTCTTGAGGGGCCTATGGATCAGCTAGTTGTGTTCAAGAGGCAACTGGAGATGAGGGCTGGACCAAGTTAGCCTCTTGCCACTTCCACCCTTTTGCTCTCACAAGAAATGTGCCCTCAGAATGACGGTTCCTTCCTAATTGCTTCTCTAGACAGCAGATGAAGGCCACGTATTTCCAGTATGGAATACTGAACTCAAATCACCAACAGTACTGTCATGTGGCTGTCAGCAATGACAATGAGTTCCCCCTTAAATTGTATGTCCAGGGAAAAAAAGAGTTTGTTCCTTTTTAAGTGGAGGAATAGGAACGGCATCTCTGGAGAATCAGAAGGAGAAAGGATGACAATAAGCAGATATCAAACTTTCTACCAGACATATAAACAAGCTCGCTTTCTCCTTCTCTAAAAACCAAGACACTCTGGCTGAGTAACATGTGTTTTAATGGGTATTATAAATGCCTGAGTTGAGGTATTAAAAAAAAAAAAAACATAAATCTGAGTCAAGCTTCTACATGAAGGAAAAAAATCAACTGATGGAAGGTTAAGGTAACATTACTGCTGATTTGGCCCTAGCATGACAAGGTGTCTTAATACCTGACACCCCAAGATATAACTTTGTGTATGACAGGTGCCCATTCTTGTCAATCGTCCCTGAAGGGGAAGTGATAGGAGCAAAATGTCAGTTGGCAACCGGGGTGTTAATAATCACTACAAACTTGCAAGGAGGCATTTCATAAACTTCCGCAGCAGAGTTTACATGAAAATATAACTGCCAGGGATCTGGCCTCCTGGAAGACACCTTGTATTCAGGTGTTTAATTCTGCTGAACACTTTGATGGGAACAAATGCAGTCTCCTGGTGCTCAAGCCACTAAAAAATTGCATTTATATTGAAAATAAGTTGCTGTGAGTTCTGTCTCTAGAGTAATGCAGGAGAGGAACAGTTCTGTCAAGAGGTACTAGCAAGGTGATAAGCTGCTGTTACATACTCCTGGTTCATTTAACCAAAGTAGGGCTCTTTCTTTGCCAAAACATTTTGGACTCCTTTTCCTTGCATATGAGTCTTGTTTCCCCATCCAAGATTTTACCCTGAGTTGTGAAGAGAGAGACAGGGAGCGTGGCCTAGTGCAGGGGGGTGGGGGGGGGGTGGGTGCTGCAATGGACAGCAGAGTTAGTCAACAGAATTCAAATTTTATTCACTGAAATGTCATCCAGGAGAGATTGTTTGAAAAATAAGAAGGGAGAGGGGTGTCTGTAGACAGTACATTTGGGAAAACCTCATCCTACCTTGTAAACTCACAGTGGAAAGACTCTGAGAAGTCCTGCAGTGAAGAAACCTTTTTAACTTTGTTCCAGCATTTCCAAAACTCATTTGATCATAGATATCATTTTCTTGTCTATTAAACATGCCACTGAACTGTTGGCATTTTTGTAACTCATTTTAGGAAACACTGCTACAATAGGGGTAGGCTAGATAGCATTGTTTTTTCGCCTCTCTATCGGTACATCTTTTGGTCAGAGATCTTTTTTTTCCCGGCCTTTGTTATTGAACACATTCTAAAATGTCAGAGTCCACTGAGCTTCCTTAGTTTATAGAGTTAAAGGTGTATCTTAGTGTAATGGCTAAGAATCATATACGATCTCAGGGTCATTGCTGTGAATACCACTGATGAGTTGCACCCTCCAGAAGTAGAGTGGGGATGGACAAGGTGTAGGATACTGAGTCCAGGGTTAGCCCAGGATAGCTCCTAACCTAACAAATTGTTGAGTGTGCTTATTTTCTGTCTCTTATCTATTTCCCTTGTCTACTGATTTGCCAGAAAATATGTTATTACGGAGGCTTGAAGGTTTCAAAAAAGTAGGTCTTGACAGTACGAAGAAAAAATACAGGAGTTCCACATGTTTGGAGGCAGTAGTTTCATGGACAGTGTCATGAGCTGTCTCTAGTGTCCCAAATGGGAATGGTAGACATTTCCAATCAGTGCTTGCCCCACCTGCCCCACCTGAAACCTTAATTTAATTCAGCAGGTGAGCTGACTCTAATCTTCTCTAATTTACTTCTGTGAATGAGGGTGTATTAAAATATTTTTGCATCTTTCCTTGTTGTTTGGGCTTGGTTCAGAATAGTTGAGTCAGCTTTGGTAGCCACTTGTGCAGAGGAGTAGCTTTGCTATTTCATTTCTTGGTGGGTGCCACTTTTTGAGTGAAGTCTTATCTACCCCATCCCCACTAATTCTTTTAAAAATATGGATTGATACCAACATAATTCAAAACTCTTTTTTTTTTTTGAGTTGGAGCCTCACTCCATTGCCCAGGTTGGAGTGCAGTGGCTTGCTCTTGGCCACCCGAGCGTAGACCTGCTGGGCTCAGGCGATCCTTCCGCCTCGCCTTCTAAGTAGCTGGAACTACAGATGTGCCCTACCACGCCTGGTTATTTTAAAAAATTTATTGTAGAGATGAGGTCTCACCAAGTTGCCCAGGCTGTTTTCGAACCTGTGGGCTCAGTCAGTCCCCTTGCCTCGGCCTCCCCAAGTGCTGGGATCAGAAACAACTCTTTAGGTGACTTCCTAGGAGTCCATGTGTGTGCCTGTTTCCTTCCTCCCTCACCTGATTTCACTTCCTTTGCTAGTCTGTAGTGAGAGGACCCTTCTCCACCTCAGACCCTTTGGGTGGATCTATAGTGAGCTATGCCTGTACTGTCAAGAGGCAGTGACAAAGCTGAGGGCTGAAAATAGAGCATAATAGAGGGCAGACAGATAAAAAGGCAAAAGAAGAGAGGAGGGTGTCTTACGTGGAGAAGGCATTGTTCTGTTTCTCACATCGAATCCCCTTGCAGTTGTTAGGCTCATCAATAGCTCTGGTCTCATAATAAAAGTAAAGCTGGTTCAGTCCATTGGCAAAAGCCAGCAGTACCAGGCAGTAGATAAAGAGGAATTTGAGGATATCAAGCAGCATGCGCCCCAAAGAGATCTGCAGAGGCCCTAAGTGGGAGTTGGCTGTGAACAGGGATATGAGACGCAACGAACTTAAAATGTTGGATATTGCGAAGAGTGCTTCTGCAATCAGAGTCGGGTGCCACATTTCCCATTCCTCCCTTGGACGAGAACCATTGTACTGAAAGAAACAAGTGCAGAAGATAAGAGGTACAGTAAGCATTTATAAAACCATCCCGTTTTTCCTCCCTTCCATGCCCAAATAAAGCCACCAAAATATGTATCAAGCATTCATTTATACCACAGGCCCAGAGCATGGCATTTTTTGTCTTTTTTGCCCCACCCAATGAACAGACGATGCTGATAGCTCTCTTTTCTCCACTCCCATCCAAATACATACGTAGCATATATACATAGAAGAATAAGTTTCAGAGCAATCATCTGGAGCAACCACCTGTGGCTTGTCAACAGACATTTTCTAACTGTGGGTTTACCAGATTGCTGGGGAGTGTCACTGAAACAGAGGCATTGGTATACCTAAAGTAGTGGGTATACCACAGATCACACTGCTTGCAATCCCAAGGATTTCAAGTTAGATCTGCTTCCTCAGTCCCTCATTGGGTTCACAGCACCATGAATAACTGAAGGACAAGGGGTAGATGCAGCCTCCTCAGTATGCAGTGTTCATTCTGGCTGCAGTTTGGGGGCTGATAGAGCATCCTTAGGAAGCCATTCAGCAGAGCTTTCTGATGAGTTTTTAGCATTCTGTAATGTATTCTACACTTTGCAAATGGCACGTCAACCTTTCAGGTAGTGAATTTAGTACTGCCCCACACAGTGGCGTATGGATGTATTTTACAGTTCCTTTGACAGCCCTACAAGTTAGAATGTTTCTCTAGCACAAATGAAGAACCAGAAGGTTGAAGGAGGGGGAACAGCCAGTATTTATTGTGTTGGTTGCCCATTTTTCAGTCCTATCCCAGGCTTCCAGCTCCTGGAACATAGGGGTATCCCTGGAGAAAGATGATTTTATTGTGAGATCTGAACTCCAGTTGGGGCATTGTCACTTAAAAGTGCCTGTATCTTTTAATTTCACCATAAAATGAGGATGATGCCTACTCCTACCCACTGCACATGTTTGTGATTCTGTATTCATATGCGAAAATCTGTGTACTCCATAAGGGGAGATATTATGGAAATACAAGGAGCTACTTATTACCTTCCCCAGGACAGAAGTAGATTTTGCCTGGGATTTAATTTGAAGCATATTGCCTTAAGCTTGCACCTAAATATCACAATTTCTCAGAACTAAATGTAAACAACTTTCCAGAGAAAATGTTGCATTGGGGGCCAAATTATGTTAGCATTTCTAAAATGTGCTTCAATTCCAGCAACTGAGAAAACCAGTGTTGTTAAAATCACTTGTGTGTATCCAATATTCTTCACTGTCAGAGGAGTTTGGAGAAACCATGCCACACATTTATGCCTCGGTTTCGGATAGACTTTCAGGTGGCCAGTTTTATGTACTCTTGGCCAAATCTTGAATTTCTATATTTTTTCCTCTCCCTCCCCCCAAACATTCACTTCATCGCTGTGAGGGTTACACATTATTACGCCTGTTTTATAAATGGAGGAACCAAAATTCAGAGAGGCAGAGTAACTTGCTCAAGATCATACAGCAGGTTGGTGGCAGAGCCAGGACAAAACCACAGGTCTCCAGACACTCAGCCTAGCACCATTTCTATTAAATGTTACTTATATGATAGTTGATATCACAGCACAGAAGTTAGGTCAGCCTTTAAAGGTTCTGAGGTATATGTGAGAGATGGAGACTCTTTGCTGATAACAAAACAGACCTATGTTTTAAGGCTAGAAATTATCAACTGGAACACATATAGCTCATAATTTGGGGTTTTCTTTTTCCATATCCAGAACTGTAACCACAGTCAGAACATAGGATGTTGAATGTGTGTTTGCAGAACATCCCAATATATGAAAGATTGTTCTTGTGGCAGAACCATACCTTGCATATATACCTTTGGAGATCAACACCACAGCATGTGAGTACAGGCAATAAACATGGAGTGCATGTAGTGTAAGGTCAATAAACATGGAGTGCATGTAGTGTAAGGTCAATAAACTTTTGTCAAGGCCCCGATAGTACATAATACTGCTCTGAGGGCTATATGGCTCCCATTGCAACTACTCAGTGATTCCCTTTTAATGCTAAGCCAGCCACAGACAACATGCAAACAAATGGACATGGTAGCAGACCAACTATGCCCCACAGAGCAGTTTGCTGACCCCCTATATAACAGTGGTTTTCAAATTGTTTTTTTCTTAGAGCCTGAAAGTTCAATGGAGGCATCCAGTGGCCACTGTGGAAGCCAAAAAGGATGCCTAGAGCACTCATTCCTTGAGCCAAACTCAGTCCTTTGGGCTTTTTTATATATTGAAGCTTTGTGTAAGTTTTTGCTTGAAAATGTGTTTCCATGGGAAAAAATTTAGAAGTTGAAAACCACTGATCTAGTCTAATCTGCTTATTTATCAGAGGAAGAATCTAAGGCTCAGAGAGGTAGAGAGATTACCTATGGTAATTCTGCCCATGAGTATCAGAGTGGGGATTAAATTCAGGTCTCCTGACTCTTCAGTTCATGGTACTGGGAGGCCAGTAATTTTTCTTATATTTTTGAAATGAAATGTAGTTAGAAAATTGGCCTTCCTCCCTTTCCAAGCAGCATGAATTGCATTTTATCAACCCTAAAGCAAAATATGAAGAGGAACAACCTAATGTGAAAACTCAATAGTAATAAGATTTTGAGCAGAGGGGAATTATTTTTAGGCAAGCACTGGCTGAAGAAAAGACCACAACTCAGTGGATAGCAACGTCCAGATTTAATTTGGGCACATGAAAGCAAGGTGGTGGTAGGATAGACCTATGTGGTGCTATTCTAGAAGACAAAAAAAAAATGAGTATTTTCTATTTGTATGGTGATTTGAGGGTACTGATGGTCAATGTTATATATATATTTGTTCCTTTTGAGTACTTTGAGACATGCCTTTTGGTTCTTGCTATAGACCATATGAGGCGGAGTAAGTGTTGACTAATTTTTCACGCTAAGAAAGGATCTTATTTAAGGACAGCTCATCGCTTGGTGCTTTTGTATTGCCTCAGTACAATGGTGATCAGAAATGTTTCAAGGAGCCTGTTGAGCAGATCTTGTGGCTTTATCTCATAGAAGTTGGCTCAGCCTCCTTGGGGAGGGTCATCTCAGACTGATGTGCCTCTGTGGATGAGTGGGTCAGACTCTTCTCATTTCCAGATTCCCATTGCAAATTCAAATTCTGCATGTGGCATGTCTTGCTTTGTAAATTCTCCTTTTTTGAGGAGAACTCCAACTTCTTGGCAAAGGTCTCCTTTGTATCAAGTGTTTGCCAGTTAAGGGGCATTTTCTTAGCTTAATAGAGTGGATGTGTCCTTACATTTTGTGATGGGGAAGTGTCTAACACTTTGGAAGCCTCGCCAGTCAAGCTGGACAGGTTATGTGTTTAGCTAATGTTGAACATCTATGGGCACATTTTCATATGTTTCAAATGTTAGTCCCTTTCTTCATCATCATTTATTCTAAACTTTCCTGTTTAAACAAAACCCACCAATTTCTAGATTGATAATTTATGGTCTCTCTAGTATATAAATACCACTTCCAAAGAAAGAATTTTTTTTTAGACTAACAGTGTTACTTAGTCAGCAGAGTGCCAGAAATGACATGGATTTCACCTAGGCACGTTAACCAAAGATTCAAACATTTTTTCTCACCAGCTTTTTCTTTTAAGGAAGTTGTAAGTATGTGTTAAATGATCGCCACATGTATAAGGCCTACTCTTGGGCTCCTGTCAAAAATGCTTTATGACTGCATTCAATATTCATGCTCTACATAACTCCCAAAGTCTTAAAATTTATGCAATATGCATATTCAGGATATAAAATTAAACTAAGTTGTTAGAGATTTGGGGGACAGCCATATTTCCATTCTAAAACTCCTTAATGTGGAATTTAGTGCCAAAAACATGACTGACTAGACAATCTTGGAGATGGAATTGTTAGTCTTTCCTCATGAAAAAGTTCAACTCAGGGTAGAAGGAGCACAGCTATTCCTTTATTTACTCACTTATTTAAGAGACAGGGTCTTTACTCTGTTACCCAGGGTGGAGTACAGTGGCACAATCATATCTTACTACAGCCTTGAACTCCTAGGCTCAAGCAATCTTGCCTCCTTAGTTTCTGAAGTAGTGGGACTATGGGGTCTCACTATGTTGCCCAGTCTGGTCTCAAAATCCTGGCCTCCAGTGATCCTCTTGCCTTAGCCTCCCAAAGTGCTTGGATTACTGGCATGAACCACTGGATCTGGGCCCATCCCATTATTTAATAAGCACCAGACCTGAACTCAGAGCTGGTGATTACCCAAAGTGAGGTGTTGGATATAAAGCTATTTTCAAAATAATTCAAGCTACACATTGTGTTGGAAAAGCATTAAGGTGGTGTGATGTGTGTATGTGCACATTTTCTGCATTGGTAGACAGGAATAGGATGGGTGATGCTCAAAAACCTGCTTAAATAATTATCCTGGTAGTGGAAGTGATGGGGAGGTAGAGGTTATTAAAAGTCTGTGTAGTCTGGGTGCGGTGGCTCAAGCCTGTAATCCCAGGACTTTGGGAGGCTGAGGTGAGAGGATTGCCCGAGCTCAGGGGTTTAAGACCAGCCTGGACAACTTGGTGAGACCTTGTCTCTACAATAAATCACAAAAAGTAGCCGGATGTGGTGGTGTGCATCTGTAGTTCCAGCTACTTGAAGGCTGAGGTAGAAGGATCACCTGAGCCAAGCAGGTTGTGGCTGTGGTGTCCATGAGCGTGAAACTGCACTCCAGCCTGGGCAACACAGTGAGACTTTGATTAAAAAAAAAAAAAAAGTCTGTGTATCCTACAGTAAAATTTCTGGGGTTCTGCACCTGTCATATGAAGAACAGCTGAGGGAAGTGGGAATATTTAGCTTTCAGAAGAGATGACTCAGTGGGTTAAGGAGTGTTTCATATTGGAAATACTTTTAAGAAGAAGAAACAGCCTTGCTCTGTATGATCCCACAGGGAAGAAGGATTACCAGTGGATGTGGCACTGGGAGAATAATATTAGATAAATATAAAGCAGCTCTTTTTAATGAAGTGACTGGGTTAAGAGAGGCTTTTGGAGATAATGAATTCAATGAATTTTTTGTCTTGGCTCCATGCAAGCAACATAGGGCTAGTTTCTTGGCAAGGACATTGTGGAGAGGATTTTAACACTGAAAGCTGAAGACCCTTTTACCTTGAAAGCCTCAGAAACTAACAATTCATTTACAAATTGCTCCGTTCTCTATTTTCTTTGCTTAGGTGGACACTGCTTAGAAATCATTGAAAGAATATCTGTTTATATGGTATTTCTTGCATGGATTAGAGCATAATTATTATTTTTCCCTTAATCTCTTTATGCTCCCAGTACAAAAACCTAATGTAACCAAAATCATTGCTTAAGAAAAATGGGAGACATTCTAACTTACCTTGACATAGGCCACAATCTTCAAGGAAATAGTTGCCAGGTAGAGGGAGTTCATTGCAAAATCCATCAGGTTCCACCAGTCATGGATGTATTCAGTAAATCCACCATCCCACATTTCCTTAATCTCCCCCCAAATGAAACCTGGACAATGGAGGCAAACAGTTTATTTTTACATAGGATCAGTTCTGGTCATCATAGCAGGATCCTCCCCCCAAGTGAATAAGGATGAAATTAAGTAAGGAATCAGTATCAGTGGAGTAAAGTCCTAAGAGACAGTAATCACTTATTTCTATTTCTCTCCTACCTGCCTCCTGTCTTTGAACTTACTAAACCTGGTAGGCTTTTCCTGAAGCTGTCCACATGTTATAATTTTCTGGGTACTGCTCACTCTTAGATGCTGAAATTTTGGATGTCTGATTCTACCTTCTACCCATTTTGGAGTGGCAGTAATTTCTTTCTATTTTTTTTTTTTTTTTTGAGTTGGAGTCTCACTCTGTCGCCCAGACTGGAGTGCAGTAGCACGCTCCCAGCCACCGCAGCCTCGACCTGCTGGGCTCCGGCGATCCTTCCGCCTCAGCCTTCCAAGTAGCTAGAACTACAGGTGCGTGCTACCACGCCCGGCTAGTTTTTGATTTATTTTAGAGATGAGGTCTCGCCAAGTTGCCCAGGCAGGTCTCGAACCCGCGGGCTCAGGCAATCCACTCACCTCAGCCTCCCAAAGCGTGGGATTACAGGCTGAGCCACCGAGCCTGGCTGGCAGTAATTTCACCAATAAATTAATTCGATCAATATTATCCTGTAGGTGATAGAAAGAAAACTTCTCGATGAGTTCTAAGGTGAGCAAGCTGAACATGGACCCAATTAGCAGATGTTGGGGTTCAAGCTAGGCAGTGGGTCCCAAAATAATTTAGGACCTTCTTTTCTCCTTTCTTCTCTCATGGTATGGGGGTTTTGTGGAATTTTATCTGATGACATGGATGTTTCTTTAGCTTTTGAATATGGAAAATAGCAAAAGGTGTGACTGTTGTCTAAGGCAGCACTTTCTCAAGCTTTAAAGTACATGTGAATTATCTGGGGATAATATTATAATTCAGAACTATGATGGGAACTGAGATTTCATATGTCAAAAAAGCTTCCATGTGATACTGATAGTGCTGGTTCAGGGACCATCGTTTGAATAGCAAGGACTTAGTGGATGGCCATGTATTGGAGGGTCCAGTGCAATCTAATTATGCCTAGAGACTACTGGTAGAGTTGCTTTAACCATAATGTATGTGAATTTCCTGGGTTTCCCTCCTGATTATGGAATCACTGTCCAAATAGAATGTGGACCCTAAGCAACTACTGGGATTGTGTAGAGTAATCATGAGAAAGCAGCAAATCCATGTGCCCCTTGGTTGTGAGAAAGAAGATTTTGAATAGACTGATCAGTGCTTGCTTTGCCTAGCTTATGTGAGGCCACTCCTGACTGATACTTGGCTTTCCCTCTAAACTAACTGACAGATAGCTTCTCTGACCTTGAAAATGTTAGGTTAGCAGAAGCAAGCCCTGGGTCCACTGCAAATCTCACTATGGACCATGCAATATTGAGTGACCAGGACCTGGGAAAGAATGAATCACATTTCTTGGGCTCCCAACAAAGGACTACCTCACCGCACAGAGGGAAGGCACCCTAGTTCAGAACCAGTCTAACTGCCTGTTCTAGTAGTTTCTTTAGATAGGACTAGCAGGCAGCCTGGCTATAGCTCCTGGTCCTTTTCACTCACCTAGAACCCAAGGCAATATCATCCATTCCACGACAGTTGGGGGAGGCCCCTGTACATGCAGGTCTGTCCTGACGATGTGCTGAGAAGCCAGGAGAAGCATGAAGAGGAAGGTCAAATAGGATGCTGTGTGACAGATAAACTTGATAAAGGGTTTCTTGATGAATAGCCCAAGGTTGCTCCTGGGTGAGATCAGATACGCTATAGACAGCATGGGAAACAGGAAGCCAATGGTCATGCAGGTCAGAAGCTTGACTACCCAGTGTTTCCGCCGCCATCCAGGGAAGCCATCATACCACAGGGTGGCCAGCAACTGTTGGCAGTTGGGCTGAGCAACAAACTGAAAAAAAGAAGAGAACAAATTAGGTATCTGGAATGTCCAGGAGAAAGTCTACCTTCAAAATACCTCTCTTAGTTTACAGGCAAGGGTCAATTTCTAGAAAAGGCCTGTTTTCCAGGTTTTCATCAATGAGTCCAACCTCAGAGACAGCTCTATATGTCAAAAAATGACACTAAATTTTCCTGAGCATTCATTATTTTTTCATGTATTAGAACAAAATCACTGTGTTCCATTTGTGCTTTGACATGCCTTCCTATTCCTCCTCCTATTCTGTTACAGTAGTGCTTCTCCAAACCTAGTTTTATATCAGAATTATCAGGGGAATATTAAAACATCCAAACTCCCAGGTCCCTTCACAGACTAAGTGAGATTCTCTGGGGTGGGGGTGGGGAGGTAGAGCCTGGGCAGCTGTTTGAAAAATTCTCCTGGGTCTTTACATGCCTCTTAACAGAAAATCATGGGGATCTTTCATTTCAAATTGATTCCCTTCTGCTCATTCTCCTAGCCTACATGAGGTCATCATCTGTGTGTGCTCTGGGCAAACACAAACTGGCAGAGAATAAGCCCATGCCTGTGGCTTTGGTTTGAAATGGAAATGAGTTCCTTTTTTGATTTAGTCTTTTTTTCCCTGTTTTGTTTTGAGCACCTCTTGGTTAGCTTGTAATGAGTCAGGTTGTTACTTTCCTGTCTATTTAACACCCTCTCTTGACATGCAGAAGAGGAAAAATATTGATGGTTGACATCAAAATATTATATTCGAACCCAGCTGGGATTTTACTTAAAGGCAGTATACAAAGTGTCAGTGATTAATAACTAAGGAGTCATCTGCATTGCGACTCACTTACTAGGAAGCTGCTACTTCCTGGTAAGTGACTCAATAGGGAGCTCAACTGTCAACCATGTTTCTAAATACTGCCTACATAAGACTATGTCAGCTTCCCATAGGACAGCTTAAACAGAGTCGCATCATATAGTTTACTAGTATAAATAAAATAAACCTTTTTCATAATTTACCCAACACCCTAGGTAAACTAGCCCAACTTTACTGCTAGTTTATCTGTGAAGGTCACCAGTTTCCCACCACGATCTTCTCCTTGAGCACAGAGCTGGACAACATCTCCCAGGTTCCCTTGCAGTGAGGTGTGGCCATGACTAAGTTCTCACTGATATAATGTGAAAAGTAATGAGGTGTAGCACTCTTAGGCCTGGCCTATAGAAGTGTCCCAATGTGTGTGTATCCAAGTTCTTTCCCCTTTCTGGCTGACTGGGATGTGACAACCCAGAGTGACCTGGGACTTCTGTCAGCCTGTGTCCTTCAATAACCATATAAAAAGAACTATCCTGCTGACCAAGAATACCAGTCTGGGACTGTTATATGACTGAGAAATTTCTGTTGTGTTTGTCATTATACATTTGGGGGGTCTTGCCTATCCTAAAGCAGTTTACTATTGCAAAACTACCAAAAAAAAAAAACAACTTTAAAATGTTTTCACACTGTGATCTCATTTCTTCCAAATATGTTCATGATCCCCATTATGCCCTCACACTTCCTTTCTACATAGTCATATAAAATAAGACAAAATCTTATAGTTCCTTTCTATTCTTCTTGCCATTATAATTTATGCCAAAGGCTTGGATTAAAAAGTCCAAGAAAATACGGAAAAGTTCAAGGTAAATCAAGACCTTTGGGTGCAGTGGAAAAACTCCTGGGAGCTCACAGTCTAGTGAGGGAAATGAATATATAAAAATATAGTTATATAACTGTTATAGTATGGGCAATGAAAGAGATATGAACAAGGCGTAATGGGAACACAAAGGAGGGGCAAATCCAGAATGTTCAGCCAAAGGTTCCTGGAGAAGAAGATATCTGAGTGGAGCATTAAAAGATGTTGCAGCAGTTGGCTAGGTGCAGGGGAGGAGGAGAAAAGGAAGTAAACAGCAAAAGTAGAAGGAATAAGATGACTAAGGTATAGAGGTGAAAAAGAGCATGCCTTTTGTGACGAACTAGAGCAGTCTGTGCTAGCTGCAGCTTGAACTGCAAGACTGTGAATAGCAAGAGACCAGGCTGCAGAGGTAAACAGACTTTAGAGCAGATCAAGCTGATAGCCTATGGCCATTATAAATAGTATGGACTCATTTTAAGAACAATGGGGAGCCATAGCAGTGTGTGTGCACATGCGTGCGTGCGTGCGTGCGTGTGTGTGTGTGTGTGTGTGTGTGTGTTAGAGCAGTATATAACGAAGTGGTATGACAGTAGACTCTGGGGCTGGATTGCATTGGTTCAATTCCTAGCTCTGTCACTTACTAGTAGTGTAACAACAAATTAGTTAACCTCTCTGTTCTTCATTATCGTCATCTAAAGAATAGAGACAATAACATCTAGCTTATAGGGTTGGTGTAAGGATTAAGATCATTTACTACATATGAAGCACTTAGTAAGGGCTCCTTAAATCTTAGCTACATATATTATTATGCATGTGATAAAATTAGATTTAGACGTTAGAAAGATCTTTCTGGTCATTGTGTGGATTAGAGGCAGAGGGTGGACAAAATTAGAGGGAGAAAGATCAGTTAGAAAGCTGTTGTCAATGTTGAAGACAATGACAGTGACTTAGACTAAGGAAATAGAGAGATGTGGTCACATTTGAAATATAATGAGGAGGTAGAATTGGCAGGATGTGGTGATGCACAGGGAGTGGAGGTAAAGGGGAGGGAGGCTTTTCACTCAGAGAACTGGTGTTGGTAGTGAGAGAGGGAACACTGAAGATGAAACTGATTTATGGCGGTGCATGCATTTTTAGGCCTGTTGAATTAGATTTGCCTGTGGGACATCTAAATGGAGATATCTGGGTTGATTTACTGATGTTATACAGCAAAGGTCAGCAAAGTTTTTCTGTAAAGGACAGATAGTATTTTAGGATTTGCAGACCATACTGTTACTGTTGCTCTTGCAGCTATTCAACTCAGCTGTTGCAGCAAATTCAGCCATAGACAATATGTACATGAATGGGCTTGGCTATGTGCCAAAAAAACTTTATTCACAAAAACAGCAAATTATAGCCTGCAAGTTTTTGTTCTATGGTATTGCTCCCTGCTGGTGTCAGAATCAAACAGATATTTGGAGTTCTTCAGTAATGGTCTTGATGACCAACTAAGACATCCCCTTGTATATCCCTAAGAATTCCAACCCCAAAGATTGCCTTCCCTTAAGGCAGAAATGCAAAGGGGAAATTTCTTTTAATGCTGGATATACCATCCAACATTTGTTTTCAATGTCTCTGCTCTGATTTTCTATTTGGCTCAAGATGGGGAATTTTATTTTTTATTTTTATTTATTTATTTTTTTATTTTGGAGTTGGAGTTTCACTCTGTCGCCCAGACAGAGTACAGTGGCCTCTCCTGGCCACCGCAGCCTCGAACTCCTGGGGCTCCGGCGATCCTTCTGCCTCAGCCTTCCAAGTAGCTGGAACTACAGGCGCACGCTACCACGCCCGGCTCATTTTTTTTGATTTATTATAGAGATGAGGTCTCACCAAGTTGCCCAGGCGGGTCTCGAACCCGCGGGCTCAGGCAATCCACTCACCTCAGCCTCCCAAGGTGCAGGATTACAGGCTGAGTCACCAAGCCCGGCAAGATGGGCAATTTTAAAGTTAGGTTTTTATCTTCTATTTTATCTGACAGAAGTAGTGTAGGGTGGTGTGGATTCTGGCAGAACAAATTGCAATTAGAATATGATAAAGAAAATTTTTATTAAGCCATCATGTAGTATCTAATCTAAAAACATGTGTGAGGTTTGAAAGCACAATTCTGATTCCTGCACGTATACTGAAGTTCAAACTTGACAGGTTATTTAATCAACCTTTACTTGATTCTAAGAACACTTCAGAAAGAGGGATTGCAGAAAAAACTGCACAGTGTGTACAAACTGGTTGCCTGATTGCACTAAAAGCCAAAGTGTACAGAGCCTGGAGCAGTTTTTTAATTTTGATGAAGTCCAGTTTGTTTTTTGTTGTTGTTGCTTGGGCTGTTTTTGTCATATCTAAGAAACCATTGCCCAGACCAAGGTCACAAATAATTTCACCTATGCTTTCTTCTCAGAATTTGATAGCTTTAGCTTTTAATTTTTTTAGGTTTTTGACCTATTTTGAATTAATTTTTGCATATTGTGTGAGGTAGGGGTCTAATTTCATTTATTTGCATGTGGACATTCACTTATCATCAGCACCATTTTTTAAAAAAAGATTTCTATTTCCCCATTAAATTGTTTCAGCACCCATGTCAAAAATTAATTAATCATAAATGTAAAAGTTTATTTGGGGACTCTTAATTCTATTCCATTTATCAATAAGTCTGTCTTTATGCTATTGCCCCATTGTCTCGATTACAGTAGTTTTATAAGTAAGCTTTGAAATTGGGAAGCATGAGTCTTCCAAATTTGTTCTTTTTTTTTCAAAATAAGTTTGGTTATTCTGCCTCCATTGCAATTCTGTATGAAAAATCAGCTTGTCAATTGATTTAAAATTTTAAAGAAGTGTGTGTGTGTGTGTGTGTGTGTGTGTGTGTGTGTGTGTGTGTGTGTGTGTGGCGGGGGGCGGGGGGCCTGGGCACGGTGGCTCACGCCTGTAATCCCAGCACTTTGGGAGGTGGAGGGGAGAGAATTTCCTGAGCCCAGGAGTTCGAGACCAGCCTGGGCAACATGGCAAGTCTTGTTTTTTCAATAAATCAAAAATTTAGTCGTGGTGGCGTGCGCCTGTAGTCCCAGCTTCTTGGAAGTCTGAGGCAGAAGGATCATCTGAGCCCAGCAGATCAAGGCTACAGTGGCTATGATCTTGCCACTGTACTCCAGCCTGGACAACAGAGTGAGACTCCAACTCAAAAAAAGGAACCTAGAGTTTTGATAAGGATTGCAATGAATCTTTAGAACAATTTAGAGAATATTGCCATTTTAACAATATTGTCTTCTAGTCCACAAACATAGAATATCTTTCCATTTATTTAGG